GTTGCGCTACATATTATATTTTTTTTTGTTATTTTTTAGATTTTTGGTTTTTGTTTTTTTTTTTACTTTCTTTTGTTATTTTTTTTTCTTTTCCTTTTCTTTGTTATATTATTTTATCTTATTCTACCTTTTATGTTTTTTTATTGTAATTTCTACATAATAAAATAAAAAAATAAACATAATATAATAAATTCAAGTAGATTAAATTGCAAGATAGATAAAAATACATTAAAATTAGATAAATAAACATACTAATTTTTTGAAACATAAAAACTACAACAAACATAAAAACATAAAAAATATTAATAAAACTCAAACAACATTTTAACCAAAAACTCAAACAACATTTTAACTAACAACCCAAACACAAAATACTAATATGTAACTTATGATTTTTCGTATTATTATTATAAATTGTAATTTTCTTATTTATTTGTATTTTCTCAATGTTATTTATGAATGTTTTATTTATGTTTTTTATCTTGATATCTATTAGAAATGTATATGTTTTATTTTATATTTACAAAATCAATATAGTTAAATATTGTGAATAAAGTAGAGTTGGTGGTAATATAGAGATACTGTTGGAGATGAATTACTGTTTCATTTTAGAATAGAGATAAAGATATTGTAGAGTAGATATGAGAGCTGGAGATGACCTTAATCCCTTAGATCAAGATGATATGAATGCCTATGAAAGGTCGAGCTGAATTTAAAATATTAGTCATATTTTTAAAGAGTAAAATGGGAAAAACAATTTTAAAGTCTAAATATATAACGTTAATTTATTTGTTTAATATTAACTAAACCAACCCTCCTCTTCCCCAATAAAAGAGGGTAATTATGATGGAAAATTAATTTAATATAAACATAGTTTAGGGTTAATTTAATGTTACTTTTTTTTAAATAAGGTGAAAAAAGTATAATACAAAAATGCTTTTAAAATATATTTCGTTCATCTTGGACAATTCAATAGTTATTTATTTTTATTTCAATATAAATATTTTATTTTTCCAAAAATAAAATCAACCCTATGTACGCTTACATCAAAGGTATTTTTTTTCAAATAATTTAAGGTGGTCATAAGGTTCAGAATCGTTGCTAGTTCCATTTAGAATCAAATAGCTGTCCTACAATAGAATCGTTTTACCCTCATGATATCCCCATTACTACTAGTTTCGTAGTCCGACCATCCAACACAAGCTGAATTTATGGATACAAAGAAGAAGAACAAAATACAATACCATCGGAGTAACTAGCAATTACCATTGAAGACCAGTTCAAACCAAATGCAGATTTTAAGAAGGAACAAAACTCACCAAGAAGAAGAAGAACAAAATACAGTACCATCGGAGTAACTAACAATTACCATACAAGACCAGTTCAAACCAAATGCAGATTGAAGAAGGAACAAAACTAACCAAGAAGAAGAAGAACAAAATACAGTACAATCGGAGGAACTAACAATTACCATTCAAGACCAGTTCAAACCAAACGCAGATTTTAAGAAGGAACAAAACTCACCAAGCATAAACAAAAGTATTCCGAGTTTCTCCAACCCTTCCTATTTTACTCGAATTCTTACCAAGTGTCTCTCCAACTGTTCATTTCTCTAAAGTATCCGAATTCGACCCTCAAAATATAGGAAAAAACTTTAAAGAAAATCCAGCATATCATTGAAGTGAACATGCTTGGACCAAAATACAAGTAATATGACTATCTTCTATTGCCTAAATCTCACACCTATCCCTTTATGCTACATGAACTTTTCATTTTTCGAAAGTATTCATGCTCAAAAGTCTTGATGATAATAGGCATGCCCAGCATTCACTCAAACAACATAAGACAAACAATTCACCAGAAAATGAAGAGAGAGAAAATCAACTTGCAATGTGATTCTAACATCAGCAATTCGAATTCCAAGATTACATGATTCTACAAAAGTAAAAGAACATATCAGAAGAATTCTCTTTTAAATACAACAAAAAAAGGTGGGGTTTTCTTAAATTACACTTACAAAGCAATCTTCATCAATTGCCCCCACTTTCCTCTTCAAGCTTCTTCACATAAGCCTTTAAAACCATAACAACATCTCTCGCAGGAGCTTGGAGTGTCCCCACAAGTCCAATAGCAGGACTCTGCAGACTCCCCAAAAGCTTAGCGTAAATCTCAGCTCTGGTAGGCATACTTTCAAGCTGTTTAAAATCGTCCGGCCCATAAAATTTCCCTTCGAAAACACCCCCCGTGAAGTCATTCTCAACCTTCTTCTCCCTCTGGAACGTCCTGTAAGGTTTAAGAGCGTCCGGGATTTCTTCGGTGTGGACGAAGAGCCAAGCGTTCATCCCTTTCATACACGGCTTCAATGCCTCCCAGGGAGTCCCTTCGATGGCTTTCAAGACCAGAGTGTTCTTAGCGACGAGTAGTTTCGATGAGTCGGGGAGCGATCGACGCAATTCTTGGAATTGTTTGACGGTGAAGCCCTTGTATTCCACGGCGGCCAAGAGGTAACAGTTCTCTAACTGGGACTTGACAGTTTCGACTGTTTCTTCTTTCTTGGTCCGGGAAATGGCGGCTCTGATGGAAGGGTATGAGGGTGGTTTGGGGGAAACGAAGGTGGGTTTGGAGGATCGGAGGAATGGGGCGGTGGGTCTGAGTGATGGGTGGGAAGGCGGGGGTTTGAGGGATGGGAAGGAGAGGAGAGCTATTTCCATGGCGGAAAAAAAAAAGAGAAGATCGGAAGGAAAGGGGTGATGAGTGAGAGTTTAGGGGTTGGAAGGGGCTTATCTGCTTCTTTTGAATAACTTAGAATGGAAGAGCAGCTGTTCCACTTAGATAAGGGATTGAGGTGAAATTACGACTGAGGCCTTACCATTTTACTTTTTATATATATTTTCTTGAAATATTCTACTTTGATACTTAAATATTTCAAAGTCGGTCTAATATATACCGGGATGATCAAATCTGAATCCTTTAATGGATTGTTAATTCATTTATATTTTTTATTTTACAAACAAAATGGTTGTGAAATGGGGATGAAGTTGGTATTTGTTAATAATTGTTCATCCCCAATTTAATTTTGATGAAAGATTACATAATTGTTCTTTATTACCTCTAATTATTTGGGATGTAAGATTAAATTTTTATCTTGTACATATGTAATGGTAACAACTTAGTGAGATATTAATGGTTAAAATAAATATTATGTTTTTAAAGATTTTAAATTTGAATAATTACATCCGCAAGATGTGTACGATTATAGACATATGAATATGATTCAGGTTATGAGTCAAATTATTTCTTTATTTTTAAAAGAAAATAAATATCAAAATTACATGAGACTTTCCTGACAGTACAATTATATAAAGGTTAACCTATACGGATGGTCATTAATATTTGAGGTAGTTTTCGTTTTCCTCATTGATGTTTCAAAAATTATAAACCGGTCACTAACGTTATTGATTTGTTACAAACTGGTCATTCAACGTTAACAAACGTTAACAGGCGTGACGAAAAACACAATCGGCTCGTTAAATGCTTACATGGATGGGTTTAATCGAGTTGACCGGCACGATGGAGACCCCATATTCTCCTTTAAATGAAAACTTAATACCTAAACTTCAATTAGGATTTTTTTTTCATTCATATCTCTTCTTCAAACAAAGAAAGCTTGCAGATTGTGCAGTTCTTGTGGAACAGACTTGGTGTGTGGCTGTGTATATGCATTTCTATGCACTTCTTTTATTTTTTCTAAGGCAATTATTTGGTGTAATGTAGGTGGAAGCTCTTAGCTTTTGCAGAATTGAAGAGGAGTTCTGTATCGTTTTTCGATATAGGTAAACAAGAAACTGCGATTTTGCGTTGGTCGAGGGCGAGAACAAGGGCTGCCAAGGTTGGGAAAGGTTTATCGGAGAATGACAATGCTCAAAAGCTTGCCTTGCAACACTGGCTTGAGGCAGTAAGTGAGTTTCTCTATAAATTAACATGGTTTGATGACCTTTGTTCTTGATTATCACTGTTAGTGATTCAAGTTTAATGTGTGTTTTCAGATTGATCCGAGACATCGGTATGGACACAATTTACACTTTTATTATAAACAATGGCTCCATTCTCAGAGTCAAGAACCCTTTTCTACTGGTAATTTTCTTTGTTTTTGTTCACTAGGAAGATATTTTGATTCAATGTTGAAGAAATTGATGAACTTGTTTTGAAAATGCAGGCTGGACATTGGGGAAGGGAAAGAAGTAAATATAAAAAATGTCCGAGATCAAAGCTTCAACTGCAATGCATCAAATGCCTGGTTCCGATGGGTTTTTATATCTGTTTCTTCTACCTAAGTTTATCTGGATTTATACTCAACTGCAATGAACGTTAATTCAATGCAATTATATATGTATATTATTAAATCATGTGAAAAATGAATGATGTGAAATTTAATTAATTTGATTTATCTTGTAGGATCATATCTCCTACCCATGTCCAAATTTATATCAAATACCAGATATATAAGTACTTCAAAGAAAGACGAAGAGTCAGAGCAACATTAGTGATCTACTTTTACTTTGTTCATGGGGATGGAAATAGTAAGAGGTTGAGTAATTACAGCTTTACCAATTAGAATTTAGAAGTTACATTGTAACTTTCAGCAAAAGCAAGATCCAAGTCCCATTAGGTATTCCAAATGTTGCACGATGCAGATCAAATTGCAAACTATAGTGTAATCTAAAAGTTGAAACATGAAATAAAACATTCATTTTGTTGCTCGACTTCAACATTTCCAAATCTGGGAGCAAATGATTCCATGAAACCGTTCGACAAATTTTGGAGCTTGTACAACACTATTTCATCAATCAGTTAACAAGTTATAGGTGTTTCCAGATGTGTTTGTAAATGGTTTCTTTCTAAACATAATCATGTAATTCAAGAATTTCAGACTTGTCCTGATTTCATATTGAATACCATGAAAACCTGAACATGTAGTGACAGACACCATATCAAATAACCCAAACAAGAAAACAAATTAATAGACAATTTCGAATTAGATCATTCAAGGGACTTTTGCATGAGATTCAAAGTGTACAAAGAATTTAAGTTCTAATTCAAAGGAAGAACTAAAGCAAAATACCTGAATGTCCCTCCCCCAGTCTACAGGATCACGGATAACAAATGTTGCCTTAACCCTTACTGATGAAATTTCATATATTGGCACTGTTGAACCCTTCCTATCTGACAGTGGCATAGCTGTCCATCTTTTATATTGAGATACAGGATCAATGTTCTCAAAGTACATCGCCAACTGTTCGAATGACGTGACTTTTCTAGCACTAAACAGTTTAGCTAAATAAATTTCCAAATAATCTAACAATATATGCTATGAAAATCAAATTTTTGCAGACCTAAACATTACATTTAGCCCTTACTTGAAACCATTTCAGACATCACCAAAGCAGGGTCCCCTTTTCCAATGGCAATAATGAGTTCGTTCTCAAATCCGACTTAGAGAAGACGAAGTTAGAAAATATCAGCTAACTGAGTAATACATAGGGTAGTCTGTTACCGATATAAATATTCAAGAGAAAAGAGATTTAGCAGAAAAAGAAATAGATTCCATATTCTAGACACAAAAAAGAAAAAGAGACTTACCAAAGCTGAGTGATCTTTGCAGCCTGCACCGCAAGAAAATGGCAACAAACCATTTGTCAAACAAACGAACATCAAAGATGGAAAACTCTACATTCGTATAGAAATGCTAAAGCTTTACCTGAGAAGACATAATATTTACTCCCAAAAGTTCTTAACTCCTTCGATCTCTTAGTTTCTGGGACATCTCCTCCTATTCAAATCAAATATCCATCTGAGTTTACCAATGACATAGTATAACACTCATACTACAAAATTGTTGTGTAGATTTTGGTTTCTGCAATTGGATCCAAAACAATGACAACTAAGTTCATAGTTTTAAACAAAAAATACACCAAACCATAATTATATGTAACTTAAACATAATATCTTCAAATAAAAGCTAAGCAAATACTGTCTTCAATATAAATCGTTAGGTTTCTATCAGTAGTGATAAGAGTAGGCTCACTTCAGAGTGACTCACCATTAGTCAAGAACAAGTATGGAGCACTCCATTCACCTGAGAAGTAATAAAAAAATTGATTAACAATATTTCTTTTCATACCGTTCTTTGCATTTCAATGCAACCACACAAAGTTGATGATATTGAAAAAGTATTAGTAGAAAACACTTAATAGTACCGGAATCTCCGTACAATCTTCTCCGAGCTTGTGGAGAACCTCCAATGGGAACACGGCCAAGAAGAATAACGCCGTCGATATCAAATGCTATTCCAAAATTACACCTGAGAAAAGCAGCTCAATTTCCATACTCTTCCCAGGGAAGCACATGAGAATTTGAAAGAAAATTTCGATTTTTTAATATTTTTTTCTTTAAAATGACAATTTTTATGCTTTGATCGAGGAGTAGTAGAGAATTGAAACGAAATCGGAGCTTAAAACAGCTCATAGGGATTTTTCTTCACCCACATTATGAGCAGCTGAACGTCGTCGTTTTAAGTGCTCAGTAGATGATAAATTTTTTTAATATTTTTTTTTGCAGTGTAAGAAAAATTGAAGAATATATTAAAAATGTTAGATTTGATGATAAATTTTGAGAAATCAATAATAAAATATATAAAAAGATTTATTAGATTTAACTGTTAGTTTCGATAATTAATAGGTAATTAAAGTTAAAAAAATTTATAATTCAGTAGATATTTAAAATATTTTTTTAATTAGAATACAGATACTATAAACACGAACTTCCTTCAACGGAAAAAAAAACCCTCAAATCTACTTTTGATTCATCGTCGAATCCTCTCGCGCCAAATACAAAAAAGAAGAAAAAATATCCATTAAAACTTGTATGTATTTAGGTATGTGTTTGTTCATAGGGATTTGTATGTATTTATGTACTTAGGCATCTGGTTTTAGTTGAATTTGAGATTTTCTATGTATGACAGTATTCGTATTTGTATATGTATGGATGGATGAATTTATGCTTTCGGGGATGTTTACTGAAGCATGTATGCATCTGATTATCTCTTTTTTGTTAAAATGATTTAAGTTTTGTTTTTGTTTGAATTTGAGGATTTTGTTCGTGGCATGTTTGTATTTGTATGTAATTATGGGTTGAATTTATGCATTTGAGATGTTTATATAAGCATATGTGCATCTGGGTATTTAAAGTGCTGGTTCTTGTTTTTCCATGTTCTGTTTTAGTTGTGATCTAGGTTTTCTGGGCACATGGCAGATGGTATGGCAGGGGGGCCTTGGAGCCCACCAGGAGGGAGCCATGAGAGTGGAGGAGAGCAAAGCAGTCCTCAGTCAAATGTGAGGGAACAAGACCGTTTCCTCCCAATTGCTAATATAAGTAGAATAATGAAGAAGGGATTGCCTTCTAATGGGAAGATTGCCAAGGATGCTAAAGATACTATTCAAGAATGTGTTTCTGAGTTCATCAGCTTCATCACTAGCGAGTATGTTCAGTTATTGAATATTTTGGGAACTTTTTCTTTCTTTAATATTGCTTAACTTTGAAATTGTCGATTTTGAAATTGCGGGGATGTCACTTTGAGAATCAAGAGTTTTGTTTCAAATGTGGGGCTTAGAATCTATGTTACTCGGGCTCGGTGGAGTGTCGAACACAAATATGTCGTGTTCAATTTCTGTTTCCCAAGATTTTCATGTATTTGGAGGATCTTTAGAAGATCATAGCTGCATGCACATGTTCAATTATTATACTTTGGACATGGTACTTCTATAAAAATGAAGAGTCAGAATAACATAGTTTAGTATATATGAGAAAGTAGACTGTGTTTTATATTGCAATATTTGGTTCTTTTTTAGGAAATTATTCAAGTTGGGAGTTGGTTGATTGGAGTTAGTAGATGTTTGGAAACATGAATTTGAAAATTTGGATTTAAATTTCTTTTTTGATATAAATTGTGAGAATGTAATACATACATTATAAATTTATGGTTCAATAAGCTTGTGTATATTTGAAAGGTATAAAGCATGAATTTCAAATTCATAAAGATCTATATGCATTTCAAATTCACCACTAACTATATATCTGACAAATCAATAAATTTGAAAAATAATCATTAATGTAAAATTTGATATTTAAATTCTCATACACTACGTTTTGATGTATTATGAGCTTTTTTTGTATATGGGCTAGAGATTCTTTGTCAAATGGTGTTTTATGTTGGAGCTTGTTTCTTTACTTTTTCTTAATAATAATGAGAAACATGATTATGTTTTATATGAATTGTAAATTTTGAATTGTGATTCATGACATTAGAGATGTGACTCTGTGGCGTTGGCTTTTGTCTCTGATATGCTTATTTCCTGGTTTCCGGTAAATGGATGGTTGTTGCCCTTTCTTACTCTGGATTGTAAAAATTTTGGTTTTGAAGGTATTTATTTTTTGTTTGTATAAAAAAGAAATGTTCTTGTGTTTTTAATTCCGACTTCTGATGTTTTTTGGTTCAGGCAAGGTTTTAGTTTTGAGGGATGTGGACAAGCATTTTTGCCATTTTTGTTGTGAACTAGAAATTTTGTGATTGGTGTGAAATATATCATCGGTTTTCTTGTTGATGTTTTCGATATTAATATTATTTTGTTCAGAGGTTGAATTGCTTTTGGTGGAAATTTAGGCTTCTGTATTTTAATCATATGGTTGGTTAGATTTTGTGAAAATTGTTTGGGCTGTATGTTTTGTAGGGCTAGCGATAAATGTCAGAAAGAGAAGAGGAAAACAATTAATGGAGATGATCTGTTGTGGGCAATGGCAACATTAGGATTCGAAGACTATATCGATCCACTTAAAATATACCTCGCCAGATACAGGGAGGTATGCAGGGCTTTAAGTTTTGACCTATTTGTTTATTTACTTCACTTTCTGCTTCATCTGGCTTTTCAATTCATCTTAGCCCTGGGCTTTAACTTTTGACCTATTTGTTTGTCTACTTCACCTAGTTTGTCGATTTATCATAGTCTGGAACCTTTCAGGCTGTTAGAAGACTGAATGGCGTTTAAACCCTTTTTGTTTATTGTAACTGTCTTGCGTATCATACAAGTAAATCTATGTTAGGACCGATTTACCTCAAAAGCTGCATTTCACTGCAAGTGCAATGCTAAATGGGAAAAAAAATGGCTTTTGCAGTTAAAATAATAGTTTTGAGTTTTGACAATCCAAATAAAAAGCTAAGGAAATGGAACTTTTGTGGTTAGGAAGCTGACTTTGGACCTTGTGATCCTCACTTTCCTAAATTTTTATTATTTTAAACATACTTTTTCTTGACATTTTTATTTATAACAACACTTTTTCACGGCAATGTCAAACTCTTTAAAACTTTTAAATCACATTTTTTTTAAATAACAGAAAATGTTAAACTAAGCCTGGGTCTCAATTGACATTATTTTGAAGTCCAAAATTTGTTGTTCAATTCACCGACATTTTTCAGTCTTTATTATTTGATCTGACTATTTCTTTCTTTTTGGCCTTTTTCTCGGGACTGATATATATCCACGATGAATATGATGCACAGTTGGAGGTAGTTATGCTCTCTCGTTCACCATTAATATATTTTCTTGTAGTTTACTCGGATAGTGTCTCCGATGCCAGTGGCAACATTAATGCAAACTTTCTAATTAACAGGGTGACACCAAGGGATCCGCCCGTGGGGGTGATGGATCTTTTAGAAGAGATGCAGTTGGAGCTCTGGCTGCCCAAAATCCACAGGTGAAAGCATGTTACTAGCTTAAGTTACTTGAACTTGAGTATGAGTGAAACAAGTATGGGTCCAACAAAGTAATATTAAGTTTTTTTTTTCAAGTTGTTTCCATGCATATGGTGGACCCTTGGATAGTCATATCCTAGTACGAATTTCCAGATATGTGACAACACACATGTTGTACATTAGTATTTCAAGAAAAGAGAAGAGTCGGAATTATATAGATTCTTATTTCTGTGCTAAAAATTTATATACCTGTCAATTTTCCCCCCATAAACTCTGTAACTGATTACTATATTCTTTTTCCTGGTTGGCATATAAATCCTGCAGTTTTCAATCCAGGGGACATTGAACTATATAAATTCCCAAGTAATTCTTTCTCTCTCTTTCTCATTTGGGGTTTTTTTCATGCAAAGGTTTTCATTTGTTGGTTATATATATATATTCCCTTAAGAACATGTTGATTAATGTTTCACTGTTCGTTAACTTCATGTTAAACATTTTCACGTGTTCGGCTTGATTAGCATTAGATTGTACTAGTAAAGTTCATTTCTGTAGTCTTGTGCCTCGAGCATTTCATTTTATTTTGGTTACCTTAGTGCCATACAATATCTTTTTTCTAACAATTTCACTAGTTTGAGGAATAAAAATATCATAGTGGATCTAGGTTATCTCTTGCTTTAACCAATTATTTTGAGTAAAGTAACGACGGAATCAAACTTTTCTTTTGTGAGTTTTCTCTCCTAGTCCCCTGGCTTCCTATTCTAAAAAGTGTAAAAATGAATCGATTTCAACAACTGCACCAAGTTCTGTTTTTACCGAAGGCTTTGCCATTTCAGGTCTTTTAACAAAAATGCATCAATCCTA